AGCGCGCGCACGAGATAGATAGATAGATAGATAGATAGATAGATAGATAGATAGATAGATAGATAGATAGATAGATAGATAGATAGAGAGAGAGAGAGAGAAAGAGAGAGAGACACGGCGCAACGCGTGGAGAGCGACGACGACGTGGAGGCGCGCGGGGACGTCGACGGCACAACGAGGCGGCGGGCGACGAGGACGTCATCGGCGCGCAACGTTGCTAAAAATTGAACGCGTGTTCAATTTGTTGAATGCGCGTTCAATTTATCGAACGCGCGTTCAATTTATCGAACGCGCGTTCAATTAGTTGGACGCGCGTTCAATATCTTTGAACGAATGCTGCAGGGTGCGGCCTTTGCGCGTTCCGCATCGCGTTTCCCGCGCGTGGCGGGGATTCGAGACCGTTGGGGGGGTGGTTTGGGGGGGGGGGGCGACACGGGGGGGGGCAGCTAGGGGTGGGCCCGACGAGGCCTGCGGCGGGGAGGGACGCCGTCGGGAGTTGGGGCTTCGTGGGACAGGCTAGGGGCGGACCGCTTCGGTGAACCCATCGGCAAGCGGGCATGATGCCGCGAAGTCAATCTCGGGTGTTTGAGGATGGGGGGGAGGAAGAGAATCTGAAGGTGTAGAAGAAGTGCTGCGTGTACAAGTACATCCGCGTGGGATAGAGTCTCGGCGAGAGATTCCGCGGCAATCACATGTTGAAGTGCGTTTTTTGCGGCCACGAGTTCCAGGGCAACCAGTTTGTGGCAGCGCGCCATTTCCGCCAGGGCAAGGGATGTCCGGAAGTGACAGACGAGGCACTTGTCGACATCCACTATAACAGTGAGTACAAGATGTCCGAGAAGTTCCTAGAGCGGATACAACGATTTGAGGAGCTTCACGGTGCGGCGCCTGCGGTGGATCTGCAACGGGACGAGGGGGGGGAGGGAGAGATGAGGGACGCGGGGGAGCAGATCAATGTGGACGACGACGACGAGGAGGTTGCACGGGCGGGGTCGTCAAGGAGGGAGTGAGGGAAGGGCGTTGTCAGCGAGCCGGGGGGGCAGCAGGGCCAGTACTTAGCGTCGGCGCACGTGTCGGTTCGTGCACGGGCAGGTGCGGATACGCCTGAGGCAAGTGCGTCTGCGGGGAAGAGGAAGGAGAGAGAGGAGGGGGACAAACCGACGGCAGCAGCCGCAACACAGAAGAGGATGAGACAAAACACGATCACGGAGTCGTTCACTTCAAAGTGGCAGATGGAGTTCAAAAAGAAGTGGCTGCGGTTTGTGTACAGTCAGCGCCTGCGGTTCAACGTCTTCCGGAGCGAGCCATGGTTGGACGTCGTCCGACACTTCAGGGACTTGCCGGGGCCAGTGAAGGTGTTGTGGCCTTCAGAGAATGAGATCGCGGACATAGAGACCATTGTCCACACGGCGGACGATGTGGGAGCTGATCTCGCGGAGGTCAGGGCTCCTTTCTATGTCACAGGGGCCACCATTATGTCAGACGGAAGGAAGTCACGCGATGCTAGACCCATCGTTAACTTCCTTGCCGGTGGGTCGCGTGGGGTGATGCTCGTCCGGACGATGAACAGGGAGGGTGAGCGGGATCGGGCGCCTGATGTGTTGGCGCGGTGGATCAAGGTGTTCGATGACTTCCCCCCTAAGTGGGTGAATGCCATCTGCACCGACTCCGCCTCGGCGTATGTCGCCGTGACGAACATGCTCCAGGGGCCCCAGCAGAGGCCGGAGCATCGACGGATCACGTGGCTCCCATGCGCAGTGCATGTCTGCAACAAGATGTTGTCAGACATTGGCTGTTCGGTCCCGTGGTCCAAGGACATCATCGTGAGGGGGAGACCGGTGGTGCACTTCATTAAGGAGCACGGAGCCGCTCTCCATATCTTCCGGGGGGAGAGCAGTCAGATGGGCCTCATCTATCCTTGCGAGACACGTTTTGCATCCGTGTTTGCGATGGTGGAGCGTTTGCTGGCAGTGAGGTCAGCTTTGGAGAGGACGGTGGATAGTTGGGGTATGGTCCCTTGGGACCATTCGGTTCGTCATTTGGCTAGGTGGGTCAGGTGGCAGGTGCGACATGGCAGTTGGTGGGATTCCATGGGCATCTTGCTCCGTATCATGGAGCCTGTGTACGACCTGCTGCGCAGGTTGGACCGCGGAGGGCTGCACATGTCGCGGGTGGTTGAGTGGACGCAGGATCTGGCCCGCCAGGTGGCAGAGAAGGTTTGTGCACTTCCGCCAAATCTTGCACACTACATTGTGCAGAGGGTGTAGGCTCGATGCGCTCACATGCTGGAGCCGGCACAAGCCGCTGCTCACCTCCTCTGTCCCAACCGGCAGTACTTGTCGTACTTCGAGGGCGTGGTCACCGACTACGACGCGAGCTTGGTGAGGGAGGTGGAAACTTACATCTTGTCGCAGACAGGGTTCAGTGTGGCGAGCCGCGACTACGGGACTGCATGTGCACAGTTGCGCGACTTCCACACACTGAGGGGGACGATTGCTTGGGGGGGGAGAGACGGAGACAGAGATGCACAGAGGTGAAGGGGCGATGCGGAGACGTACGAGTCCGGGTGTTGGTGGTCCAGGTACGGGCAGTGCGCCCCGCAGTTGCAGGTTATCGCTCTTCGTGTGATGTACATGTGGACGTGCTCCTCTCCTGCGGAGAGGAATTGGGCCGTCCACGAGGGTGTACAGACAAAGAAGCGTAACCGGCTTGAGTTCGAGAAGGTCGCGAAGTTGGTTGAGATCTCAGCCAACGTCCTCCTTTTATCTCATCAGCGAGCAGGTCGCGGGTTCGCGCTGCCGTGGACTCTAGATGAGTCGTTGTTAGACGTGGAGGGAGGTATCGGGATTCGCC